TGAGACCTTTCAAATGACATATGACACGTGACTGAGCTGTATGATGTTTCTGACATATTAGAGCACATGGCACAAAAAACATTTTTCATAAATTATGAAAACATTTTTTTCTATTTATCCGCAAATAACTCAGTCAGCACTACGAGTTAATCAAAGTGGCCACATGCATTGTAAAGGTCAGACTCCAAGCTTTCAAATGACACCAATTTCGGGTTGATCAAGGCAGATATTTTGAAAAATATGCGTATTATTTTTTTCTTCGCCAGGGGGCGCCCGCCGGCGGTACACTCCGGTTTAGAGGAACTAGGCAGCACTGGTTAGGAGTTGATCAAAATGGTTGGATGCATTCGAAAGCTGAATTTCTAAGCTTTAAATGCGCATTTGGAGTTTTATGTGTTATAAGTCGATGACGAATATCTTTAGATCAAAATGACAGATTATGGTATGATTGGGCTCATTTTAATTGAGATAATTTTCCATGATCTATGCATGTTTTATGAAGTTATGAATGAAAACATAACCTATGTTTTTTCTCAATTTAATGGTTTCATGTGTGTGATAACATCTTAAGTAATATATTTAGATCCAATGAACAAATGAGTTTGGGCTCCTTTTAATCGGGAGAATTTTCTGAAAATAATGACGTGCAATTTTCCATGATCTATGCATGTTTCCTGAAGTTAGGAATAAAAGCACAAAATTAAACTACAATTTTTCTTTGCAGTGCCTCAGTGCGCCTGTCTGGTTTCATGTGTTACAGCTCTATGAAGGAAATCTTTCATCTGATCGATGGATTATGGTAAATTTGGGCTCTATTTAATCGGGAGACTTTTCTGAATATAATGCTGTGCATTTTTTCAAGATCTATGCATGTTTGGTGAAGTTATGAGCTAAAACGCTACAGGACTGCAACCTCTGATTTTTTTTGCTAAGCTACATTACCTAATTATTTTCTGTGTGTTATAGCTTTATGACAGATATCTTTAGATCTGAGGGATGGATTATGGTGAGTTTGGGCTCTTTTTAATCGGGAGAATTTTCTGCAAATTTTCTATGATATATTCATGTTCCATGAAGTTACGAGCGAAATCGCCACATGACAGCTAGCTACCGTCGATTTTTGGGCTAAACTACACCTGTGCAGTTTTATGTGTGTTATAAATTCATGAGGAAAATCTTCAGATATAAATGGCAGATTACAGTGTTGGGCTCTTTTTAATCAGGAGAATCTGCTCTAAATAATGGTGCATAATTTTCCATGATCTGATCATATTTTATGAAGTTACAAGTAAAACGGTGACAATATTATTTTCATATGGGTCTGGGGGTGACTTCTTGTACAAAAAACTCGCTCCAGTTTATTCAAAGCCCCAAACAATTATGCTTGTGTTATTCTACTGGATGAGACCTTTCAAATGACATGACTATCCGAGCTGTATGATATTTTTCACATATTAGAGTACTGTCACGGGTACACAGACCAGAGAGAGATGAATAACTTTCCAAACAGGCTTTATTTAATGCAACAGCATCGATAAGGCAATAGGTGATCAGATATGCATTGCAGATGGAGCAGGAGGGAGATCAGACAGGTGAGGAGCCACACACACACACAAATGTTTACAGGACTTGATAAAGTAGTAAACACTTTCCTTTCCTGTAGGAAGAGCACACGACACTTGGAGATGGAGACACAGAGCTGATGACTGAGGATAAGGAACTGGACGCTGGAGATCTTTGGGGTGCAAACAAACAGGTAAGTAGACTTCAGGTGAGTAACAATCCAAGGCGATTATCTGGAAGGTCTTAGACAAGACTAGACAAACTGTGTGTGTGGTGAGTCCTTTTAACCAGTGCAGGTGGAATCAGAGACAGCTGGTGATCCTGATTGGTGACAAGGAGCAGGTGAGCAGCAGGAGGGATGATGGGAAATGAAGTTCAGACTAGCTGACAGAACTGGTGACCATAACAGTACTTCCCCCTCCAGGAAGGCGCGTGACGAAGGAGGGCTGGACGGGACCAGCGGAGACTAAGGAGAGGTGGGCTCCTGGCCGAGCTCGGCTACTTGAGTGGGCTCCTGGCCGGACTCTGGAGAGCTGACTCTGGAGAGCTTATTGGACTGTACTCAGGAGTAGAAGTCAACTCTGGACAGAGTTCGGGGACAGGAGCAAAGTCTGGGTTGAATTTGGGGACTGGAATCAGTTCTGGGCTCCAAGACATCCCCTCATATTCCATCAGTACTCCCAGGGGCACAAGTGCGGCAGCCAATTCGGAATGGGACTCTGGAATGACGGTCATGGCTAGACGAGACTCTGGAACTGAGATTTCACCCACTGGGATAGATTCATTTGGGACTGGAGTGGGCTCGGAAAAATAAACTGATGGTACTAGGAGAACTGGAGGGGGTTGGGGCATCAGCAACTGAGTTACACCGGCACCACCATCATCATCAGCAGCATCAACAACAACAACATCCTCGCCCACTGTGAAGAATGAACCATCTAGCAATAGCACATGATCGATATATTGTGCCAAGGTACCGGGGTTTGTCGCTGCTTGTGCTTGGAGGAAGAGTGGATCATCCAGACCACTGACTTTAAATGTAACATCCTTCCAAGGTACCTGGTGGTCGCGAGCGAGAGGAACTCATCAACATAAAACTTGATCGGACGGCCATCTAGGGTTATGGAGAGGATTTGCGTGGCCGGATCAATGGAGCTCATAATGCTGTTGTCTGTTGTGGTCTAGTCTTCTGTCACGGGTACACAGACCAGAGAGAGATGAATAACTTTCCAAACAGGCTTTATTTAATACAACAGCATCGATAAGGCAATAGGTGATCAGATACGCATAGCAGATGGAGCAGGGGGGAGATCAGACAGGTGAGGAGCCACACACACACACGTTTACAGGACTTGATAAAGAGGTAAACACTTTCCTTTCTTGTAGGAAGAGCACACGACACTTGGAGATGGAGACACAGAGCTGATGACTGTGGATAAGGAACTGGACGCTGAAGATCGGAGATAGGAGACTTGGGGGTGCAAACAAACAACAGGTAAGTAGACTTCAGGTACGTAACAATCCAAGGCAAATATCTGGAAGGTCTTAGACGAGACTAGACAAACTGTGTGTGTGTGGTGAGTCCTTTTAACCAGTGCAGGTGGAATCAGAGACAGCTAGTGATCGTGATTAGATGATTGGTGACAATGAGCAGGTGAGCAGCAGGAGGGATGATGGGAAATGAAGTTCAGACTAGCTGACAGAACTGGTGACCGTGACAAGTACATGGCACAAAAAAACATATTTTGTAAATTATGAATTTTTTTTGTAATTTATCAGCAAATAACTCGGCACTACTTTGGAGTTAATCAAAGTGGCTACATGCATTGTAAAGCTCATACTCGGAGCTTTCAAATTATATCCATTTTTTGTTGATCAAGGCAGTGGTTTGAAAAATATGATTAGTAATATTGACGTGGAGGGGTGGTGTCCCGCCTGCGGTACACTTTGGTTTAGAGGGACTGCTTAGCGCTCGTTATGAGTTGATCTTAATGATGAAATAATTACATTCATTAAAAAGCTGAGATTCTAAGCTTTAAAATGATACCTATTTTGTGTTATTCCATTCAGGGGTTGCTTAGTAATTTGTTTTTTAATTTTTTCGTGCGGGTGGTGTCCCGCCGGCACCAAAGGGTTAAGAGAAGTATTGTATAACATTGGTAGCTCTCAGCCGCTTACATTTTAAAAAGTAGCTCCTGAATGAAATAAGGTTGGAGACCCCTAATGTCAACAACGGACACGACCGCTGTCGCGGCGTGACCACAGCAGCTTGAAATTGTCTAATTTGGCACGGTCTCCCTGCTGCACTAATAGTAGTAAGGCTGTGTATACATATCCTTACAAGTACAATTTTAGCTGTATTATTTGTGTCCCCTTCAAAAATTTGCTCATGAGAAATTTTATGTTTATTGTCCCCCCTACTGTTAGATGAAATTTACACCCCTGGGAATGTGTGCTAATAATATTTTGGTTTGTCCAGTCCAACTTTTTTTTTCCTTATCAAGATTCTATCAAGTGAAAAACCAAAATGGTTGAATATGGTTTTAATGCTTTCAAAAATGTTGAATATTAAACATTTCCTTAGCTAGTTTATGGTGGACTTTGAAATGGAATAGTGTATTTTTGTTTAAGTTGCAAATCGTTCATCTTACCTCTTGACATGACTTGTTGGACAAACTTGTTGGACCACTTTTGTAGAAGTCATACTTCAGTGGTATATGTTGTAGACGTATTAATATGGATGTATTAATGGATAATTATGAATTGTACCTTTATATTCTCCTTGATTAGACGACAGCCTAGGTAAAAAGTGGCACAGCTTACCCCACTCTCCTCCATACTGTTTACCTTCACCATTACTCAGTAACCAATTAACACATTTTATTTAGATCTCATTGTTTCTATCAGAAATGCTAGGTTAGTTAATAGTTTATCCATTTTCCAAGTGTGGTTATAGCAGTGCCAATCCTATTGTTATGTAATGTTTCCTCCTTGTTTTTCTCTAGCTCTTTTCAACCTCATCCCTGTCGGCTTAAGGGTGGTGGCCATTCAGGGAGTCAAAGCAGGTTTCTACATCGGCATGAATGCGGAGGGCTTCCTCTACAGCTCGGTAAGATTCCCCTTTCTCAGTTTGCATGTGTGCGTATGTACACAGTATGTGGCAGAATGCTGCACGCAGTGCGTATTGTTTTCTTGGAGCTCATTTATATATTCCCTGAGCTCAGCCTCATTAGCACAAAAAAGTGAAAAGTACTACTGCATTCCTGCAGAGAAATCTTGCCTTTATCATCTTGATAAAGTAGTTCAAGTTTTGCACTGTAAAATTCAGAAAAGGGGCTGCTATAGCATGGGTTACAGTGCAAGAGCACAGTGTAAGGCTGTGTTCACTGTAGGCTTCAGCTGAGTTATGGTGGATGACAGGCATATGTTCTTGCCCCCACTCAGCCACCATTTGAAACGGGTTTGTGGAAAAGTGTTGGAGTGAGTTACGGACTTCTGCCAGGCCAGCTAATACGTATAACAGCTGGTCACAGAACTCTTAATCCTGTTAAAGAGGAAAGGAATAAATTAATTTTCTGTTGCCATTGCCATTTGGTTAGTTAGCATGGATTTGATTCCTTATTCTATCTTTAGGCCAGATAAATTCAACAGCAAGCCTCTTATCTGGCATTAAAAACAAATCAATTCTACAATTAATAACCTAATCACTGTGCATAAACTGTATATTAAACATATACTAAGAAAAACAGAAAGAAGTAGGACATTAAATGCACTGATATTGTAAGGGTGTTTTTTTCCCTACAGTGGCTCAGGCTGTAGGATTGTCGAATGACTAAAGAAATGTTATCAGCACGATGGTATAATACTGTACATTTCTTGCCTATTACCATCCACTGCCACTTATACCAATGACAGAAATAAGCGCAGTTAGAATAGCCAAATATGTGGGAGAGCTTTGCTATTACGTGACTATATTTTATTGCAATAGGTAGCACTTTAATGTTAATGTTGAATCAAGACTAGGAAGAGAGAGCAGGGCCCCAGTGAAGAGAGATCACAGCCAAGAAAAAGAGAGCAAAGAAAAGAGGAGCCAGAGCAACAGTTACAATCTTCTTTTATCCCTTCCTTGACCATGTGACTAAAAACCAAATGTGAGACATTCAAACTGGCCAATCAGCAGATTACCGCTTCACCCACTGTGCAGAAGGTGTGACAATTAGCAGACCCCCGATGCATACAGATGTTTGCCTACAGGCCTTGATCACAATCAGCACTCTGTGCCTTCACAAATTCCAAATGGCCCTTTTGCTACTGAAGATAGGTTTGGGACAGGAAAGCAGAAGTCTTTGATCATTTTCAACCCTACAATATAGTAAAAAAAGACAAGGTTCAGAATAAGGATTTTAAAGACAATTTGATTTTCACAGGAAGTGGGTTATGTCAGGGATTTCATGTCCGTAGCTCAAACTGACCAATGGCACTGAGCTTTTAAAAGCAACCACAACTTTCATAACTAAATATTGAATTTAGTGGCATAAGTAAACTGCATTCACAATTTGTTGACTTCTCACTATACAAGGATACTTATACGTAGCTGTTTAAAATAAATAAGCAGAAGTAGAACCTGCACCAAAAGCAACAGGGCTCAAGTGGCTTTGCTGCTTGAATCCCTAATTAGGACCGTTGAATATTATGAAACAGATGCAGAGTGTGCAGAATTATAAAAAATCATTGCAATTAAGCAACAGATAAATATGGATATCTTTTCTTTCTTTTTTTTTTTTTTTGAAAACTAAATGAAGTGCCTAAGTTAGGGAGGAGCGAGCCCATCTAATCTTTCAATCAACAGCCAGAGTATAAACGCAGCTGTTTACCTCTCTCCAGTCTGTTCCAGCATCCCTCCATCTCCCCAATCTCCACATTCATCATTGGTACCCTTGTCCTTTGTAATCATATCCTACATTAAATCTCTGTAGGGGTATATCAGAGCTCGAGTTGAAGCTGCTTCATCGAGCCCCTCATCAGTGGATAGCAAGCCAAATAAGTTAAACGTAATTTCCTAAATATTATATGGGCAAATAAACTAAATAGTATTTAAAGAACAAGATATGACTTACATGGATGTATACATTAAAGAAAAGCCAAACAGAATGTTACCAAGCAGTGAGGAATTTTTAAGCCTATGATGCATGAGAATTTCACTGTTAATGATTATCTTGTGACATATTTAAATTCTTATAGTTGTTCATCTCTGTTTAAGGCATGTGTTTGAAAACTTTATGCTATGATGTATGTGAAGGCTAATGTTCTTTATTCCCCACTAACAACTTGGCTGACTCTATATGTCATCAACACATTTTAGTCTAATAAGCGATCATGTTAATGTCTGACTGAGCAGATACATTAAGTGCTGCAGGCTTGGAAATTGAAGGAATCGATTTTGTCACTGCAGAGATGCTGTTTTAGTCCTCCAGAGGTGCAATTACCTAAGGAGGTTTCCCTTGCATATTATCTCTGGTCTCCTGGAGATATTTTGGGAGGAGGTCATGATTCCATGCTCCAGGAACTCAATGAAGTCTTGGCTCTCTTCTCCCTGCCATAATGATGAAGTTCTTACTTGCTGTGGAAAGCTTTGATCTTTACTGGCTCTGGATTAATCAGCGACATGCCAAAACTCTTAAGGGCTTTTTGCAATATAACATAGTATACAAAATATTATATGGTCATATTTGACATTTTCCGACTCAAACATTGAAATGACTGTTTCTACAAAATGTGGTTTTCTGTAACTGTCCAAAGCATCTGAATATGAGGCACGTGATTGGATGTCTGTTGCTAAGCATCTAGCTGTAACATTCTAACAAGTCATTTCACACTGTACAATTTTGGCACTGCAGTGTGGGGTTAACACTGCAAAAACAGCACTAACCATGCTCCGGAGCAGGGCCTCAACCCTGGGTAAAAAGTGGAGCTAACCCGCTTCTAAATTATGTTTATCATGGCTTCAGTAATTATAGAACATCAAAATGATCTCTATTTAAAATATCTAGACATTTTAACACTGCAACATTGCTGTCCTGAAGCAAACAAGGAGAAGTAAGAGAGCACCCAAGTACCGTTTTATTCAAAATAATAATGGGCCTGTATCATGAAGCATTGGACAAGACCATGGAACAGAGGCAGGTCTGGACAGTGGAGCAGAGATGGGCCTGCATCATGATCTAAGACCATGGAGGGTCAGGTGACCATTGGGGATTAGGAGACCATGACAGAGCAGAAACATAGGCAACCTTCCTGGCCGTGAGAGAGAATGCATGGACAGCTTCCATGGCTGTGTCAGAGCAAATGTAGGTGGCTTCAGTGGTCATAGCTGAAGAGGCATGGGTAGCCTCTTTGATTGTGACACAGCAGGCATAGATGGTCTCCATGGCTGTATCAGAAGAGGCATGTGTGGCCTTATTTGTCATGAGATAACAGGTGTGAATGGCCTTTGTGGCCTCAGGAAAGTGTGTGCAGTCCAAACAAACAAGATGGCAGTAACAATGACTGGGACTACCAGACTTGGGACTAAGGATGTGGCATCTGGCTTGTAGCCTATAACAGTCGAAGGCACATGGTCTGTCACAGACATGATGACTCTGGTGTAGCAGCTATGACATGGAGGAACTCTCGTATGGCAGCTATGACATGGGAGGACTCTGGCATGGTGGCCATGATGTGGGAGGACTCAGGTGTGGCGCCTATATTGTTAGAGGACTCTGGCGTGGCTCGCAAAGATGGAGTCCCTTGTGGGTACTGTGGAATTGCTGATCTCCTCATCTGAAATTCCTACAGTAAACAAGGAATCAACAAGCTTACATTTTGGAGCAATTTAGTGAGATCATACACTGCATATGTTTTTGTAATAATGATTAATGATAATAATTAATAATGATTGATATATGTATCTATACATATAGATTACTGTAGGTATTTTTGAATGGTGGGGTACATAGTCTTTTATTACTGGATACATGATGGAAATTACTGAGCAACAAATCAGTTTGAATGGCATTGCAGCCCATCGAGGTACAATGCAATGGAAAAAGCTTACCATTTGTCAGCTATTTCCAGGAAGTAAATTACAAATATTATATGATAAAATGCAACACATGGAGCTCAGTGCTTATATAGAATATAACTGATAATGCATGTTGCTTTGATAGGAAAAGTGCATCTGATTTACAAGTCAAGTAAAACTAACACTATTGCAACATTTTTCTTTGTAATTACTGGGCAAAAATTCCTTCTTGATCCATGTGGTTACAGGGTAAATGTCACATCTTCGGGCTGCAATTTAAAGTGGCACTTGTTATTCCCTTGTTCCAGTTTGGATTTAAATAAGCAAATGTTTAAGATTTTAGGATTTAATAATTTTTCAGTGATTAATATGTTTCTGGCATGTTGTATGTTTGGCATCAATTCTTTTAATCCTAACTGATGCAACTGATGCCATGTTGAAATGCGTACCCATGCCCATTTTCCAGGATGACAATGCTAGGATTCATCAAGCTCAAATTGTGAAAGAATGATTCAGGGAGCATGAAGAGCCTGATGAATCTTGGCATTGTCATCCTGGAATATGGACATGAGTACGTCTTCCAACGTTTGAAAAATAAAAAAGCTATCAGTTAGCTAATTAGCTAAAGCTAATCAGTTAGGATTAAAAGAATTGTTGTGAAACATACAACATGCCAGGAACATATTAATTACTGCAATAATTATTCAATCTCAAAATTGTATGTATTTGTTTATGCACAGCAGGGCTGTGACAACCACGTCAACCTTTGCCTTGCCACCTGCGGTAGTGCACGTGATGTCACACACTCTATAACAAGCATAATACAAAGTTTTGTATACAAGTGTAATAATAGTAACAATTTTTAGACTATAAGTCTATGCTAATTCACAAATTACCTCAAACGCCATACACGGTGTTTGATCCTTTAGATTGGCAGGTTTGAGCGCAGGAAAATACAGTACAGAATACAGAAACCAAATACTACATCGCCAATCTGGAATCACTGTCACTCATCCGCATTTGTACAAGTGTCTTCAAGTTCACGTGATCGCAAACGCTCGGCTGGTCAGGTTTGTATTTACTGCATTCGGTGTTTGAAAAAAAAAAAAACATGAATTACCATTCTGAAACATCCTGTTGTAAGTGCGTTTGAGGAGGTGGTTGGTTGTCTCCTATCGTCGCCAATTCGGGGTGAGGTTCAAACATGTAAGTCCGGACAACATTTCCCTCAACAGTGACCATCATTACCGGTGTTTCTATTGCTACAGCATACATGACCCTAGTTACCTGTGGTTGGCCTGGCCATGCGTCACTCAGAAAACAACAGGCCAATCAGAAGAGAGGCTCATGAATATTAATTAGACATGCCAAATCGACCTGTTCTTTGCAGAGCTACTGAGAGAGGAGCTGTAAAAATATATTGAGATGTTTTTTTGGTACTTATACCGCAAATATATAGTCTTAAGGACCTCAAGACTTAAAATAAATCTCCATAAATGTGTAAAATATGTGACCTTTAATCAAAGTAACTCATAATGTAAGTCAGTAATGTGTTTGGCCCCCACGTGCCTGTATGCACCCTTACCAAAAAGAAGTATACTTCAAGTTTACTTTATTAAATATGCTGAAGTAAAGTTCAAGTATATTTTAAATATACTTTATGTAGTAAGTATACAAATATTAGTGTACTAGTAGTATACTGGTAAGTGTACTATTTCAATACTCCTTGGGACTAAATTTGCCGCCTTTCTAGTATATAAAATAATACTTTTAAGTATACTTTTAAGTATCACAGTAGTAAACTTTGAGTACACAAACTAGTTTACATCTATGTTTTTAGTTTGTACTGCAACTATATTAAAAGTGAACATAGGTATACTGATAGTTTACTAATTAAATACTTGTAGCATTTTTAGTACACTTTGAAGTATAGTCTCAGTAAACTAGTAGTTTAGTAGTTTTATACTAAACTTTAAGTGAACTTTTCATCATACTTTAAGTATACTACTATGTCCCTATTTAGGTATTAATTTGTATATGTTTTGTAATATGGATATCTGAACATGCAAAACATCAAAAGAAAGAACAGGCTTGTAAACAAAAAAATTTTATTCTAGCTTCTTGCATTCTTTTTTATAAACACTTGAATGTGGGTAAGTTTCATAAATAAATAAATAATAAAGAAAGAAATAAACAACATTTTGAACAAAAAGCTGAAAAAAGACTATGAATTGGATTCAGAATGATAATCAAAATGTAGAAGTCGATCAACACCTCAAAGTTCTTCTTGGGTCGATATTTTATTCCATAACGTTACACAGTTTTGATGCTGTTTTATGTCTGATGATCGTGTTAGATTACAGCTGTGTACCAAAGTTAAGTGCACACATTTCGAAGGGCATGGACTTCGAAGGCCACGCCTCCAAAATACACAAAGGACCCTCCGAAGTGCATGTCTTCGCAGGATTTCCCAATTGCGCCACCAGAGGTTCCTGATTAGCACTCTGTCGCATAGCATCGGTGCAAGAGGAGAGCTGACGAGAGGATGGTAATGTACCTCAGGCTTAGCCAAGACCAAGGCCAGGTAAGTTACACTGGTTTGCTGTGTACTGTATGCTCTCATATAAGCAACCCTTCTTACAATGTCAAGCTTGAACAAATATAAACACCAATCAACGAACACTACCACAGTTGGCTAA